AAAAAACAACATTTTTTTAGAGGAATGGTAGAAGACACAGTGTCATGGGATCCCAAAGCAGCACTCTTCTCCAGTCAAGGTACTTTCAGGGTAAATGCTACTGTTGTGTTTACTGGTGAACTCCAAGCAAGCACCTAAATAAGCAGCTAAAAATATTTGTTTGAGAACTGCATTAAATAGCAAAAGATAAGTAAGGGCTTGTTCACACCAAGTGCGGAGCAGAGCAGTTCCAGAATGCATCAAAAATGCATCCAATGTATTCCAATGGTATTTTGGCTCTAGTTTACACCACAGTGCTCAGTTCCAGTGCATGTGGAAAAACTGCAGCATGCCCTATTTCTTCTGCTTCGGAAAACACACCAAAACGCATTCAAACGCCCTGGAACTTACTGGACTACACCTGAAAGCCCATTTTAGGACTTTAAAAAAACGGTACAGAACGCGTCAAAACGCACTGCACTGCATATGCAGAAACTCATGCAGATCTGGTCCGGATTTGGTGTGAACAAACCCTAAGGGCCAGTTCACACCATATGCAGTTGTGATGCAGTCCGTTTATTTGACTGCTGCAGTCAAAATACATCACAATGCTTTCCTATGGGCTTTCTTAGGCTTTATTCACACCATTGCAGTGTGAATTAAGCACTGCACACTTCACAGCTTCTTGCTCCATTGCAACTACCGATAAAACTGCATTTCTGGGTATGAGGGAGCATTTAATCTGCTCCCCTATGACGGTGCCCAGGCCTAACATCCAACCAGAGGAGTAACGTCACTATTACTCTTAGGGATGCACCGATATATCGGTCGAAAATGGCACTTTTGGCTAAATGCAGAAAGCGCCATCTTCCCGCCCAGGTTTCTTTCCTCCCCGCTGGGCGCTGCTCTGTGTCCCAGCGGGGAGGAGAGAAAGTGACAGCCGCCCGAGCGCTGTGAGCGGCCGGAGTCTCTCCTCCCACACTGCTCAGCCTCCTATCACAGTCCGGCAGAGCGGTGTGGGGGCGGAGACAGCCCGCGCTGCCACAGGAGGCTGGGCTCTCCTCCCTGCTCCACTCGCTCATCCTCCTGTGACAGCTGTCAGAAAGGAGAGCTAGGTACAAGCAGTCAGCGATCAGTGAGTGTTTTTAGATAATTGAGGACACGGTATGTCGACAATATCCTCAATAATGAATGAATGGGAAGTGATCTACATCGCCTCCTGTTCATTCGTAGTTATAGTAAAACATACTCTGTTCTCAAGTTATCAATGAACAGGAACACTCAGAGGATTCCTGTTCATTGATAACAGGGGATGCAGAAAAAGAGATTGAGGACTCAATTGTGTTCTCAATCTCTCTTTTTTTTTATTTCGGCCTGACAATTTTTTATTTCGGTTTTTCAATTTCTATTTCGGTGCACCAATTACTCTGTGTAACCAAAACAGCCACCTTCAGTTACTGGTATTTTTGTTCCTGTATTAAATATATAGATATGTATAGATTATTCAGTAAAGCAAGCTCAGGGTTTCAATGAAATCACACAGCCTCATTGCGTAACTGCTGCTTAGGTAAGATCAGCTACACAGAGTGCACTGTCATCAGCAAACCCAAAAGGCTTCCATTCAGAGAAGGGGCAGTGAAGCACAGTGAAGCACAGTGAAGCACAGTGAAGCACAGTGAAGCACAGTGAAGCACAGCCCTTGTGTAGAAACGGAAGAGCCTGCAATGAACAAATAAGAATGCACTTGTGTACATATAAAACTACAAACTATACATAGAGACAGTTTCTAAAACTGGAACCCACAGTGATACACAGAGTTATCCATGTGGAACCAAAAGGGAAAATAAAGTGTTGCTAAAAAAAAAAAAAATGGAACAAACTATGGAGCCACTCTTGTGTGTGCTAATAATCTTTGTGACTAAGAGAAACGTCACCAGCATCTTGCTATGCCTGATGAAGGGACCGTGTGTGGCCCTGACAGGGCTTGTGTATTTGACATGAGTCTTCAATAAATCCACGATTGATGATCCTTTAAAGTGACATTAAAAGTATATTTTTTTCCCCTCCCCCCAATGTTAATGTCAGCACTTATCCGATCGTCTTTGGTGTGGTTTTCAGCCTAGTAATCTACTAGTAATCTGTGTGTCCCCACAAACACAACAAGGAAATATACTCCTTCTCCCTGCTCCCCCCACCGCTCAGGCAGATGGACAGTTGCTGGAGACTGTTCTGTCCCTTATGATCTTGTACTGGACAGGAAGTTCAAAGAAGCTGAGCTGGGAGAGTTGGAGCCAGGTGTTTGGAAACATGACAACTGCAAAAATGTAAGATACACGTTGCTGCACAATGTAGATTTGTTTGATCTGATTTCATTTAAAAAAAAAAGTTTTGAGTGTTTAAATGATGTGATCACTGACCCAGAAGCCGGCAGTTTAGGAGTTCTTGCAGGAGTTGTTACATTAGTAACTTAAGACACTTGAGGCCATAGACAGCCAGGCACTGATCTATAACTGATGGGTTATACTGCCACCTAGGGAGGAAGAATGCCAGGCAGAAAAAAAAAGTCCATGGGCTGACCCTGAGGTGGCCAACAACCCCCACCCAATCTACTAGAGGCAGCTCAGTTAGTCACAAAGCAGTAGATGCACAGACAACCACTAGAGATCTAAATCCCTAACCAGTGGGATAGCCCAATGCAATGTCTACTGAGGGGTGGAAAAAAGAAGAAGAAAAAAGCACCCTGCAAAAGGAAAAACAGGGGGAACCAAGATTCCCAACAGGGAGCTAGGTCCATACTTTTTGACGCCAGGCAAAAAATAGAGCAGATGGGGGCTTTGGCCGTCAGGAGTTGCCCCTGGGCTTTGCTTGTTTTTCTGTGCCTGGCATTCTGCTCCTACAGGTGACACTAAAACCCATTGGTTAGAGATCAGGATCTCAGCTGTGTCCTTCAATGAATGAAAGAGAAATAATAGTTTTGCTTGCACGTGATCGAGTGATGGAAGTCAGCAGAGCTTCACGTCATTCGCTAAACTAAGGGAAATAAACTAAGGGAAAATATCCCCTGCAAAGTGCAATATCCCTTCCAAAGTGAACAGCCCATTTGCCTTTAGTAAACCAACCCCAAGATGGGAATGCAGTTTTCGACATTATGAAAGCTGGATTAAAAAAAAAAAAAAATGGATCCACTCTGCCCTGACAAAATTCCCCCTTACGTCATTCGCTAAACTAAGGGAAATAAACTAAGGGAAAATATCCCCTGCAAAGTGCAATATCCCTTCCAAAGTGAACAGCCCATTTGCCTTTAGTAAACCAACCCCAAGATGGGAATGCAGTTTTCGACATTATGAAAGCTTGATTAAAAAAAAAAAAAAAATGGATCCACTCTGCCCTGACAAAATTTCCCCTTGGCTTTTGAACGAACACACACACTAATGCCCAATCCTTGAGAGAGGAACCCCCATGGGAGACAGCCAGGAACAAACCTATGCTACCACTGCCAGAAAGATGAAATCCGCAGGGAGAGCTCAAGGGTACCCTGGAGGAATAAAATACACAGTATGTCCTAGTACTTTATGGTGCCAGCTCTCTTTTAAAAGAGTTTATGGTTTTAATTATAAATTCAATTAAGTAAAAAGATGTATATGGTGTTATATACACAGCAAGCCTATAGTTTCTTCTAAATCTTCCAGCATTCCTGAAGCAGAATGCACACCCCGGCCTGGCTGCACTAAGCAACTCATGACACAAAGTAAACCTGACTGGAATTAAGCTACAGACAGCAGCTAATCACCACCCATGTAATTATTAATGAAATATGCCGCATATCACATGTCACAGTTCCATATGTTATTCCTTCATAGAAACATCTAAATCGGCTTCTGAGGTAGGTCTCAAAAAGCATTTGGCACTAAGAATGATTGTAGGGCTGCAACTGATGATTATTTTCATAATCGATTAGTTGGCTGATTATTTTGTCAAATAATCAGATTAAAAAAATTAAATACCATCCATATAAAATACACAAATGCGGTGTTACAAACATAAAAGTTTACTTCAGAATAAAAAACTGTGCGCACAATTTTTTTGCAATCACACTGCACTGGAACGAACAGCATTGTGGTACAGTGCGTTCCAGTACGGGTGATCACACTGTGGGTTGGAGGCGCGTTTGGGGTGCCATTGAAATGAAGGCACTGCAATGCACCTCCCGCAGCAGAATTTGTCAGGCCGAAACTAAAATGGACTTTTTTGCACCTTTTATAAAAAAAATAATTGTAATGTAAGCACATGGCGCTTTAATAGCTTTAGCCAGGGAATGACAGCTGCCAGTGGCAAGATTCCACAGAAGGCAGCTGAATGTAAATACAGCAGGCAGTAGGCTGGTGCAATAGCCAGCCTGCTATTGGCCATTTCAAACTGCAATAGCCAATAGCAGGCTGGCTATTACACCAGCCTACTGCTTGCTGTGCCCTCTTCCCAGCGTGAGGAGAGAGCTAGGGGATCCAACCAACTAATCGATAACAACTATTCTCATAATTGATTAATCTATGTGTTTGCTGCAGCCCTAGATGAGTGTCAGATTTACAATTCAGGCGAATCGGCAAGTCGCACATTTTCGGTCTCACCGGGACATACCCTTTTTATCCTCCGCAATCAGAAAGGCCTTCTTTCAAAAATTCAGTTAAATCCAATAGGCACTAATAAACCCAAAGTTTCTAGACTAGGGCTATCCAAACTTCGGCCCTCCAGCTGAAATTACTATTCCCATAAGGCACTGCAAGACTGACAGCCACAGGCATGACTTCCAGAGGCAGACACATGATGGGAATTGTAATTTCACCACAGCTGTTGGGCTGAAGTTTAGCTACCCCTGTTCTAGACCATCAGAACACATTACCTGACCATGTTAAATACACCACTTCCCCGAGTGTTAGATTTAAATCACAAGCCGGGTTTACACGGAATACCTTTATTTGCTGCCGTCTTAACATTGCCAGCTCTCTCATATCCCGAAATGGCTGTAAAAGATATTGATAAAGTTCTGTGGTGGCTTCTACAACAGCATTGTAAGCGTCATCTTCCATCTGATACAGCTCTAGTAGGTCAACCATGTTTTCTGTCACTTTGTGCTTTTCCAGCAGCTGCAAAAATAAAAACACAAAAGATTTGCATTTTTGTACATTTTAGAGCTGAAAACACATCAACTGAACTCAGCAAAGTACAACACTAAGATGTTCATTTGCATAATGTTTGTCATTCACGTACAGACACAACAGATTTTTCAGAAACCGACTGCAATAAAATTATGGTTAGATCAAAAGAAAAGAAAAATCAGCAAAATGATTGGTCCCGCCACGGAACACAATGATTACATTTATTGATAGTTTTCAACTGTGTAAGACCAGCACAAAGTCCCATTCACACCAGACACTGCGCAAATCGCACAGCGTCTAGAGCCGTGGTTCTCATTTAATGGGCCGGGACCCAAAAGTGGGTTGTGACCCCATGTTCAATGGGTCACCGCATGCCTTCCACTCCACTAGGTGAGAGGCCCCCATAGCGCAGCACTGTCAGTACTCGTGCCGAGCAGCCATTCAAAATATGCTGTCCAATGTCAAGCTTCAGCTTGAGGTGGGGTGGAGGTATGGCCGCGAGGGAGCTCCATCCATACGTGCATTGCTTACCGCTCGCGTGACCGGAGTGACATCACCTTCTGGCTCATGGAACTTCTAAATGCATGTATGGATGGATGGAGCTTTGCCGCAGCACAGCAGCCCACACTGAACTGTGTGTGTGTGTGTGTGTGTGTGTGTGTGTGTGTGTGTGTGTGTCGGTGTGTGTGTGTCAGTGTGTCAGTGTGTGGGTCAGTGTTTTAATCTCAAACTACCATGCAATCTCACTTACTGTCCGTTCTGGTGCGGGAAGGGCGTTGTGTTGCAATTCATTTGAATGGCATCCCAAACACACCTCCTGCCCGCAGTTTGATCACTTGCACCAGAACCAGTACTGCAACGCTGTGCGTTCCAGTGCGGTGCGACTTAATGGCCAAGGACAATGGCCCGGTACAGTGCATTGCAGTGTCATTGTATTTGTTAGAACTTTATTAAAATGTCACATGGGACATTTCATTCAGTTCTACAGCCGCAGCAGGGTGAGAGGTGGTTGAAAGGCACCGCAACCCTCTGCACTGACAAAGTACAGCATGCTGTACTGTTTTTCAGCACACACCACCTTGTTACCTGCGGTGGTGCGAACCGAGCCCACCCGTGACTGGGCAAAATGAATTGTCTTGTGTTGGGGTTGCGCTAGAGAAAACGGCCAGAGCAGTTCCAACACATCTGGTGGGAATTGGCCCTTAGAAAGATTACTTGTACATGAAAGATCCTTTACTGTCTGTGGGTGGATTTAAAGCCGAACTCCGGTCACAAATATTTCCATTTAAAGATATTCCTCAGTAACCACAAAGATTATAAATCCACTCTGCGTGCACCAAATGCATTTGCAGACCCAGTGATTACCATGTAAAAGTGGCAGTGACATAATCACTATGCTGTACATAGCCCATTCAGATAACAGAGCTGTGGAAGGGGCCGCAAGAAGGCCCACCAACTACAGGCTGCCTACAGATAACAACAGGAGGGGCAGAGACAAGACCGGTCACCCTGCACAAGGAGATACCAGCAGTCCCTGGTCTGTATTACAGAAAGCTCCTGCACAATGGCAAAGTTTTGCATTGGATTACAGCACAGATCTGGAAGAAATACACAAAGATTCAAGTAAGAATGATTTGATTACCCAGGAGTTCAGATTTACAGCAGAACTCCTGTATTTAACCACCCCAAACCCCACTGTGCAGCTTTCTGCCCTTATCCTAATATTTAGGTTTTCTACCCAAAATCTGGAAAGAGAAAAGAAAAAAAAAAACGGTCATATGACAAACCTATTCTTGATCATCCTGCTTAACATTGGTGGAAGGCAGCAAAATCACTGCAGCAATAGTAAATGACATTGTTTAGTCCATCACTGGAGCCATTTAAAAAAAAATGTATTTTATTTTTAATCCGATTAACCGATTAATCGAACTTAATAATCGGCTAACTAATCGATTTTGAAAATAATTGTTAGCTGCAGCTCTATTGTGAAGATATAATCTAAACCAGTGGTAGGCAACCTTGGCAATCCAGCTGCTGTGAAACTACATATCCCATTATGCCTCTACCTCTGAAGGTCATGCCTATGGATTTCAGAGTCTTGCAGTGCCTCATGGGACTTGTAGTTCCACAACAGCTGGAGTGCCAAGGTTGCTTACCCCTGATCTAAACTAATACATACAGTGAACAGTACAAGACATGTGTTTGCAGTTTATAATACACTGCACAGTATAAGAATCTACTCTGAGCTAACCTTCCATACTCCTCACTGCTTCCATACAGCACACATTACCACCTAGCACAAAACAGAACACAGAAGTCAGTTGTACTCACTGAGAAAGAACATTGTATTCAGCCATAGACAGCAACACAAATACATTGAGCTGCAGAGGAACTCCCGAGTCCAGCACTTTAGTATGCACAGGGTTGATGGGGGGATTCGCCCTTTCTCATCCAGATGAAGCAAGATACTGACATGTGTTTGCAGTGCACAGAAACTACCCAACAACTGCTGCGGATGAATTCCCATACTTTCTGGTGCACAGAGACAGGGTGGGATCTGCAGCTAACCCTTTCTCTAATCCAGATGAAACTAGCTCTGTGTTGTGTGCACCATACAGGACAGAGCAGCGGTGACTGACACCCTTTTAGCCCAGGGGGCATGTCTATGACAGTCTGTGGGTCTCGTGGGAGGTAGGAAATGTAAGGATGTTCAAATGGACCTGCGCTATGGTGATAGTGGTACACCTAGCTGCTGTGTTCAATTTGTATGGGATACACACAAATTAGCTCAAGGAAATCCAAATAAGAGCGCAGTGTAATTTGGATCTCATTCAGGTAGGAAATGTGCCTGCAACAGTGACTTTTAAGAACAAATCAGAGGCACAACGTGTGATTGGAGGGGGGAAATCAAGAGCAGCGCCATGCACCAGAAGCAGGTGGGAGGATGCAAAGGCTGGAGTTCTGCATTGACATGTCTCTGTCTAGTAGGCTAGGTACCTACACTGCCATTGCTGACTAGAGACAGTCCTTATGGGTGAACTGCTTCTGGTGCATTTGCAAGTTTAGTAAAAACAGACTAAGCATAACTGTCCACAGCAAGGTGAATAGATGAAAATGGCCACAAAGATGTGAACCAGCAAAAAACTAAGCAGGTCTACAGGAGGGATTTGGCTTCATTCCACCATAAACTGTTCTATGGTCATACTCGCTGGGTTTTTAGCTATATGAGCTGTGAAATGCGTCAGCTGCATTCCCACCCCTCCTCGCTGCTTGCCCATTCACAAAATGCCTTGTATTTTTCGCAAAGTATAAAACACTATCAGTGATCGGAGGAAAAGAGATGATTTCACAACCCCAGCCCTCCCCGCCCATTCACAAAATGCCTTGTATTGGCCAAGTAGCGAGGATGTGACTGGTGCACGCGAGTTGCGTCCCCCACTCCCCACTGCGTCTGGACCCGATAGGTATGTGTAGGAGCATGTGGCTGCAAGGTTACAATTTTATACTTTGCAGCAGCCTCCCACACACTACAGCTTTTTAGTCATAATCTACCCACCCAGCGCTGTGTGCAAATCATTTTTTTCATAGAGTTTGGCTTTAACTGCTAGGTAGAATGAGATTGGTTTACTAAGAGTAGAGCATGTTCACTCTGCATTGTAGATTTGTACTTAGATTAATGAATGAGGTAAAGCTAAGGGAAAATTCACATTCCAAAGACTACCCAATGATATAAAAGGAAAATGAAAAAGAAAAACAAGAAAAAAAAACCACAGGATTAAGCCTAGTGACAATTCAGTTTGCAAGGTGAACATACTCTACTCCTTTAGTGAGACAACCTCAGTGTGACAAAGTTGTGTATTAATCTTTGTTGATGACAAAAACTGAAAGAGCAGCAATTACATCTAGGAGATCATTAATGCAAGGAAATGATACCATATTGCCATGATAAATGTGCCATTGACATGAACTCAGAGACATGCTAACTAGTCAACAGTAAATGCAAATATAGAACAATTCCAGTACATTCTGTGCAGCAAGTCGTGATGACAGTAGACTCTCTGTTCATAGCCCAGCACAAAGAAATAGACTTGACTAACTATAGGAAAAACAAAAGCAAGTGGAAAACATGCTGTAACAAAAATGTGGCAATGAGCACAGCACCAAAAACAATGATATAACTAACACTAGTTTCCATCATCTTCCAGACATGTTTGGAAACAACCCGTTTGCCTAATGAACTTTGGAACTTGCCATGCACGACAATGGCTATAAATATTGTAATTTATTAAACAGATCAGAAAGAAAACAAGCATCTTTTTTTTTTAAGGAATCCCTCAATATAAAATGTGCTAGTACGAGGAAGTGCTGGTGTTAATGTCAAGCTATCATGGACATTTACACTGCATATGAATCAATATAGCACATGATGGAACTACCATACTCAGGGCCTGATTTACTCTCTCTGCTGCCCCAAGGCCAGGTCCTCAATGCACCCCCTTATCCGCCAATCCTCCCCCCATGGAGAATGGCAGACCCGCAGGCACCCCTGCCGCCCCTCTTCTCCTGCTGCCCCGAGGTGGAGCCTTGTGGGAAATCCGGCCCTGACTATACCGATGTATGATCATTGTTCATCGCCTAGAACTACCAAACTGATGTGTGATCATTGTCCATGCACAATTCTGTACAGCCTACTGGCATGAAGAAGATGCTGCAAATATCTGTAAAAAATTAGTCAAGGCAACTGGACTTGCTGTATTTTTCTTGAAGACGTTTCACTGGTCATCCAACCAGCTTTCTCAATTCAGAATGACTCGTACAAAAATTATTTGGGAATAAATATGGTAAATGTCGCTCCAATCCGCATAATCTGTCAGTCGCAACCAGGTGTTGCTTGCATTTGCATAATTGGAGTCTAAGAGGTGTTATTAACCTGCCCAGAGAGAGGTGTTAAAACAGCATTGTATGTGGCAGACAATCGATGTTTCACC